CTCAATCGAACCTTGAACCTTTGCGAACCCGGACAAACACCTGTGCCTTGGTCGAACACCTAGCGTGTGTGGATGATCCACATGCTCGACCTTCGCCAGCCAGTACCGCGACGCCCGTCGTATTGATCTTGACGCCGCTCGGTGTGCCGCTTCACAGCTGTCGCAAGGTGAGCGCCTCTCTGTCCCTGTGTTCCTTTTCGTATCGCTTCCCTGTGTTAAGGCAACCACCCAAGCCGCCATCCTCCTTTCATCCCTTGCACGCCGCATGTTGGATAGTATAGGAAGAGAGGATATTGCGAATATTGGGCACATTGTATTGAGCCTCTGGGCCAATATATATAGGTTACATGGATTGGATCTTAAGTAAATTTGAAGAGATAGAGATGGAAACTAATCCTATCCTACTATAACAAACTGGATACAACGTCTTATCTATATACTCTAACATCCCCCGAAGTCCAAGTGTGAGCAGCGCAAACGCTTGGATTGGAGAAGAAACCAGCAAGAATACTCAATACGGATCATAGCCCTTTGTGCCGTAGTCGATGTAGCCAAAGCGAAGGGTACGAGGGAGCCGTGGTCAATGTAGTCAAAGTCGGGAAGCTGATGTCGAGGTAGCCTAGCCGTAGAGCGCGCATGGGGCGCCGTAGAGTGGTCGTGGACACACGGGAGGGCGTCGTGGACCAAGGTGCGCGAGGACATGCCAGAGATGATGACGATGATGCGATCACGGCCGTCGTTGAGGAAGTTGATGCCGAAGAAAAGAGCTAATTAGTCGAACAATGAAGAATGAGACGTCACACAGGGTTTACCAGACCTCGAGACAACTCGGGACGAACATGCACGCTGGTGTTGCCAATACCGTGCGGGCGAGGCTGGGAACCACCATGAATCTTAAGCCAATGTCGGAGGAGACTAGCAGAGAAGGCCTCCGGGATGGTCTCGGTGCGAGAACGGTGTAGAGGGAAAATTGCCGGAGCAGCACGCAGTTGCCGGAGAAGAGCGAAAAGTAGTCGAGGAAGATACGACGACGTTGGCAATGAGACATTCTGGACCAATGGCCTGGACGGCGACGTCGGTAGCCATGTAGAGGTAGCTGGACCACCGGCCTAGAGTGGCGACAGTGGCAACTTAGAGGTGCGGCGGTGATGCTCGAAGTAGAGGAAGAAGACCTTGAGCGGCTGACGATGACCAGTGTGGACGACGAGGTTGTCGCTATGCGAATGGCGTGGAAGACGACGAAAGTGGCGAAACTGTGGCCCGAGAGGATGACAGAGCTGCAGCTTCATGTCGATGCAGCGGCGAAAAGTCCACCGGCGATGTAATAATTATCGGAAACTAATTAGGGACGCATGCGGACATGTTTGTTGCTGTTTCCTTGCGCAGAAAAAAAATAAAATGGGCCGAAACAGGATCCGTGCATGAGGACGTGGGCCAAAACATGCACCAGATCGCTAGCTAGAGCGTCTGCGCTAATTAGGAATCGTGTACGTTCCAACTCCACTCCGCGCCGCGGCATCTCTCCCACCAGCCCCGCAGCCCCACTACCCCTGCTTCGACCGTCAGGCCGCTTCCTCTCCCACGACTCCTGATCTGCTCGTGACGCTTCCTCTCCCGCTTCTGCTCGGCCTGCTTGCCTCTATTCGACTCCCTCCATTAGTTCATTCGCCTCCAACAGCCGCCTGCCCTCCCCCTCCACTCCAATAAAATGGAATATTCATCTATTAGGTTACCTCCTCACTTGGCAGTTGACACCCACATGCTACAGCACGCTAAATCGATGTTTTGGCCTCCCGTAGGTATGTTTTTCCGATCTGTGATCTATCGGTCTCTCTTCTTATGCCTTTTGTAAACATTAAGTCAGATTTGTTTATTTTGTTCTCACTGTCCCTCAAGTTTATCCAAAAAAAAAAAAACGGTACAAGATTGATTAGGTTTGTTTTGTACTTTATGTTATTGGAAAAAAAAAGATTTGTTCTCCCATATTCAGCACTCAGCAGGATATTGAAATTTAGTCTGTCCACTTTGTTGAAGAAGCCAATTTGTGGTATGAGAAGAGGAATATGATCAGAGGTATGTATACCATTGCTGCACTTAGCACTGGTTTATGATGTTTATCATGGCGGACTGCTTGTATAGAGAGATGAGGGAAGTGAGAGAGGTGAGGCATAGGGATGGATGGTTGGGAGTGAAGTGGGCTTGGTTGGTGTTGCGTCCGATGAATAGTCTCCTGCCAGACGCTCGGTCCAAAGTATTTTTCGAAATAAAACACATTAGTTCTTAGAGTAGGTACAACAGCAGGCTATAAGCCAGCTATAAACATATTTTAAAGAGATAAAGGAAGAGAGAAGACCAGCGGGCTACAGATGTGTAGTCAGCTGCAACACGGACTCTAAGACGTAATGTGTGGATGACAAGTGGGACCAGATATCAATAGCATAGTAAGCAACTATTATATGAACTAGAAAGGTGGCCCGCGCGTATGCGCGGGCACTTGTATTATTGAAAGGTAATATTATTGTTTGTTTAAAAATTTTGTCTCATAGATTAAAGGCAAACTAAAGTTAGTAAGAGTTCTATTGATATTCGTTAATATTGTGCTCGCATTTATAACATAATTATTTGTTTCACTTGTACAAACAAATAGTATAAAATCCAAATAAGAGATAACACAATACATTATAATTATTTTGTAATCAACTCTCAGTTTCAGCTTAAACAGAGCTAAGTGTTGGGAAAAACAGAACCCACAGTGCCTAAATCTTTCCTCGCAGCATCACACCTTTAATTTTCCTTTTATGTTATTAACAAAATGAATCATCTCCATATATGATTTGATATGTGGCAAAGCTATAGCGCTGCAGCGGTCGTGATCACCTTAGATGTCTCAAACACAACGCTTTGTCATGCGTGCAAAAGGCAAAGGTGCAGACGTGTAGTGTGCAGCGGGCCAAAAAGATAACTTCGGATGTTTTATTTATTATCAACAATAAATCTGATGATTTAAATAATGGGTCCACCGGTTCTAGTGTAAGTGTAAATTAGTTAATATAGATTTTAAATTGTTAATTTAATATGTACACAATATAATGGTATAGACTTTATTTTGAAACAGTGCACTGCAATAAAAAATAGATCCGATGATTTAAATAATGGGTCCGTCAGTTTAAGTGTACATATAAATTAGTTAATAGATCTTAAATTGTTTATTTGATAGGTACACAATATAATTGTGTAAACTTCATTTTAAAATAGTGCATTATTTAAAAATAATAGTACAAAGTAATGAGTACACCGGTTTAAGTGGAAATTATCTTACATTATTAGTTTAATGGGTAACATATAATGGTGTAAATTTTATTTTAAAAAATTGTAGAGCTAATTTAGTTATCTGTGAGTTGTATGATGGTAGACTTTTTGTTTGTAAAACTATTATTATTTCAATAAATATATCCATTACATAAATGAAAAAAAAAGGAAAAAAAAGAAGGGAAGGAAGTGTACGTACATGGTAAGAACGTATGCCTACATATGTGCGGGGAGAAGGAGAGGTGGGACTGCATAGTATTTGGTTTGTTTTAAAATCAATTTCATCTAACGGTGTATGATATTAGACTTACCAATTTAATTAAGTAAAAATCAAGGAGTTGATGTTTTGCTTTTTTCTTAGAATTTGTAGGATTTTTTCTAATTTATTAGAGCGCCACTTTTAGTATATAATAGATAGATAATAGATGGCTATATATATAATGGGTGTAAACTTTATTTTAAAATATTGCATAGCTAATTTAGTTATGTATATATTTGAAAAGAGTGATATGATGATATAATTTATGTATGTTTGTAAACACAATCTTATATATAACGTCAGTGCGATATTTAGTTACAAGCTTAGTAGCTAGTTGTCCGTGAATATTTATACATAATAATTACCTATCACATGGTCACAGTGACTTATAGTCTGCATTAACCCTTCTCCCCTTTACAGAGTACCAAGCCAAAAATAAGACATATGTATGCATTTGTATTTCATAGAAACTATACAAGGAGAAAAAAGAAGAGGGGATACAGAAGCAAGGAGAGCGGCATGGTTGTTTTGCTTGCGATATATACATACGTACACCATATGTATACGTACCTAGGGGGAGGAGGAGAGGTAAGTGGGACCGAAGTTGTAGTGTCCGGTTTGCTCTAAGATTAATCTAATCTAACGGTTTATAATATTGGACCCACCAATTTAAGTGAAAATCAACGTATGGATGTTTTTCTTTTTTCTCAGATTTTCTAGGAATTTCTCTAATTTATTAAAGCGCCACGTGTCAGTTTGAGAGCGTTTTGAGAAAGTTTAATGGACTTTTAGTATATAATAATAGAAGATTAGCTATTACATTGGTTATAAATGATTTGAAGCTAGCAGTAGGCTATACTATTAAACTTCTCTCGAAAGAAAAGGGCGATGCTTTCAAGATGAAAAGAGAAGGCAACAGTGGGCTGGGCAAACGGGCGGCCGCACATGGCACGCACATACACTTCTGTTATCTTGCATTCATGGGATGCATATTCTTATGTTTCTTGCGCGTGGGATCGAGCCAATCAAGTTGTTTTAAGGAAAGCAAACGTACGCATCAAAGTACCCAACGTATTCTAATTTAAAGGTAGGACAGTGGACATATATATAGTGTTTCACTGCGAGATCTAATTTGAAGTATAGTAACTTATTCTATACTGTAGATGATGGCCCAGAAGAAAATAATGTATACTCCTACTCCCTCCGTCCAAAACAAACTCAACCTAGACAACAATAGGACACTATATAGTACAACGAATATGGACATGCTATTTATATTCGTTGTACTTACCATCGTTGTTTAGTTTGATTTTTTTTTTGAACGGAGGGAGTACCTATCAGTGGCAGTGCTGTCTCTTTGTCTCCTATCCTATGCGGGTGAATATGCAGAAAACATCATATGGTTGACTTCAGAGCGTACGAGAAGGCCGGGTCAGACATGGCCACAGCCATGGAGCCATAGGTGATCAAATCAATCAGTTGGGTCTGTTGGGTGGGTGGGGGGAAGACTCGAGTCGTCTCCATTTCTCACATGAGTCTCCTACATAGCGCTTAGCAAGCGTGCGAGTGTGCCTATCTCAGCTAGGATGTACAATCAGATCAGTGGAGCAGAAGCTTAGCTGAAGGCATTAAGATTGAATCAAGGTTAGTGATGGATGTAGTACTTGTTTGCTTGACTATTATTTTGACAGTTTTGTATATTGTCCATCGATCTGGACTGTTAATCTGCACTTGAGTTATTATTGCTTAATTGTCCATTTAAAAAGTTTGACTCTATTTTGTTTGAGAATTCAGATGGCGGATCCAGTGAGTAGCTTGAAGCATATCACGCAGATGGCTCTGAAGATCAAGGAGGCGGTGGACACGGTTCGGAGAAACAAGGAGGATTGCCTTCAGATCAGAAGGCGAGTAGTCAGAGTGAGTGATATCCTCTCGCAGCTGCAGGAAACGGGAAACATCATGAGCAATCCGGCAATGAGCGCCGCGCTGGAGGATCTCTCCGAGACGCTCCGCCACGCCCACACGCTGGTGGTCTCCTGCCAGGAGAAGAGCGTCATGTGCCTCCTCTGCGCGGCTACCGCGCTCTCCAAGAAGCTGCGTCGGGTGAACGATGACATCTCGGATCAGATGATGGTGGGGATCTTTGTGACCACCGTCCACACTACCATTGCTCTGAGCCAAATTCAAGGCGATGCCCAACATGATGTAATATATGCTCTTCCCCGTACAGAAATAACCGACGACATCGAAGCAACGCTTCCGAAAAAGGAAGAGCCTAAGCCGCCATCACCACCAAGGGAAGCTGAACCAGAACCCGAGCCACCACTTCCACCACCAGAGGAACCAACACCCCTAGTGCGAAACGAACCATCGCCCGCTCCCACACCGGAGAAACCAGAGGCTACTCAGGTAGTAGAGTGCCATCCATCACCAGAAAGGAAATCCACATACACTGCCCCACAAGAGAAACCAGAGGCTACTTTGGTAGTAGAGTGCCATCCGTCACCAGAAAGGAAATCCACATACCCTGCCCCACCGGAGAAACCAGAGGCTACCATGGTATTAGAATGCTATCCATCATCAGAAGAGGAACCCACACCCCCTCTGTCACCACAGGTTCAGTAGCTATATACCTTTATGTCAAAGCTATATGATTTGTTTGATAGTTTCTTACTTGCCCTCCACATCTAATTAATGAAAATGCATTTGTCATATGGCATCTGAACATTATCGTATATACTCTGTGTTTGTCTAGGTGGATTGAAAATATTTGTGAACTCTTCATTGGCCATAACTTAAATTAAGTGAGCTATTTTGTTTTTTCTTTTTCAGATAGGAGAAGTGCGAGCAGAGGATAGTGGCTTTCACTACCGTACTGCTAGGTCAGATGTGCACAATACATTCTTCTCTTCTATGTGATTTTTACATGATAATCATGCGTGTGTATTTGTCTCAAAAAGTACTTTCATAATTCCAAAATGATTCCAAGTTTCATAGTATATTACTAGCTACATCCCTCTACAAATATGACAACTTCTTTATCTACATTATATTCCAATCATAATCTTCTACGTTTTAATTTCTACACATATATCCTCTCTCCAGGAATTAATCATATATATTTGGACTTTCAATATTATAGCCTGACCGACTATAAATTTTATAGCTTTAGTCTTCACAAATAATTAGAGTGACTTAAAGGACTACTGTATGGTGGCAATGGGGATTTAATTATTTACTAAACACTAGCTGAACGGCCATGCTTTACTACAGAAAATAAATTTATTGTAATATTGTGTGTTACACATTTTTTCTATAGGAAATGTCCACCTTAATTTGATTTTATATATGGTTATCCATTTAGATTTTATTATTTAATATTAAAAATTTTAAGGGGTCAGTTTCGAAAAATTATAATAGAAGTAGATGGTGTGGCATATTCAGTGTCACTACCACTGCATTTTCATTGTTTTAAAGGAGTATAAAAAAATAACTACGTCGAGCGGAGTTCAGAACCTAATTAAATTCATGGAAGCGTTTAAGCAAACAGAAATCTTGTAGGTCTAACCATACATACGAAAATCAAGAATACTTTCACTTTTTATATATTTGGTAAACGGACGACATTGGACCAGAACTAGTGGTCATACCTTAAATATAGCAGACCCACAAAATTAATTTTGTATCGGAACGGAAGAAAGCACGAGCATTGACAATATGTGTCCTTATACTTTCTTTGCGACTGTTTTGTCGAAAATGCTTAGGGGCGAATGTAAGGGGCGATGCGGAAAATACCGGTATTCAAGGTATGTGTCGTTATACTTTCTTCACAATTGCTTTTATCAAAAATGCTTAGGGACAGATGTCCAAGGCGAGCATCTATACGCATCGGACATCTTCCTCCCACGTTTACTTCTTCTGTCCATTTCCATCTCTCTCTCTCATGGATTTTAAAACAGAAATGCCACTCTAGTTTATAACTCATCGCCGTCGGCTTTATTGTGCATAGCTACAGGGTGTCGGTGGGGATGGGTGGCCTTTATTGTAGTCCATTGTTTTCTTTGTGTTGCATTTTGTTGTATTCAGCTCTTTTGCTCTTTTTATTGGGATGTTGTACATAATGAGCAAGGCATTTTCTTAGATGTTATTCGTAGTAGGTTTTGATGTTACATTTGGTTGAAACATCTTTTTACCGGATGGTTGAAACACTTTTCACGAAGCGATGACATTTTGTAGTGAATAACGAAACATGAGAAATAATTTTAGTTGGAACGATATTTACTGAGTAGTGAAACACCCAAGACATTTTTTTCTATATGGGGAAACACCTTTCAGAGTTTTGCCAGGGATCGGATGGTTTTCTTCCTGTTTTGTTCTTGTTTTATTTAATAAGCGTGATGAATATTTGGTGCTTGTATACCGATGCAGAATCAGGTTTCAGTTTATAAAATTAAACACAACCACAGTATGTATGCCCGTTAACTTTCCAAATCCATAATTTTATTTCCTTGTCGTTGCTCAGTAAAAGTTAAGTGCATGTAGAAATTACATAATATTTGCTAATATGTTGCGTTTCCGCTCATTGGAGTTTTGTCTCCTTCAAGAAGCCTTCCCTTTTTTCTGTTTTGTGACAGAACAAGTAGCGCATCAAGCATGGCATCATCACGGCCCATTTCAGGTATGTCTTTAAGATCAAATCTTCTAATTTTATGAAAAAAAATCAGAATTCATGCATGTTTTGCATCATAATTGACATGGACGTTTATTGGTTATGCTCTCTTAGTATGGCGATTTTAGTTAGATGAGATAATTATATTACTACATTTATTTTTATTAATTGACATAATTAACATTTGAAAAAAGTTTGACCATTTATTTTATTAAAAAAAATAGTGTAAATGTGTTAAATTATAAGTCATACATAAAGTTTCTTTAATGATAAAATAGTTCAAAAATAAATAATATTTATATAGTCTTTTAATAGAACGAATGATCAAACATCGATATAATCTAAATAAAAAGGAGTAACAAATATGCAATTTCGTGACCTTTTTAATTTTGAGACCCCTGTAGTCATCATTAGCCACCACCATACAAGGAACAGTGGCTAAAACATGTTTAAAAAAAGAAAAAGTCCAAACACCCCCGTAAACTTTAGATGGAAGTCCGTCTAGCACCCTGAACTTTAAAATCAGACATCCAACCCCCTAAACTTTACCATACCATCCATATTACCCCCTAATGTGGTTTTGGATGATGGTTTTGTATATTTTAAAAGCTTAAACGAACCGGGCATAGTGGACCAAGGCCATGGTGCACCGGGCGCGAGCGCTCCACGTGGCGGACACGGTGACCTGGCGCACCAATGGGACGCCGCCACGTGGATGGCTTAGATCCAGAGGCTGATTGGTCGGCCATAGGCAAGAGGGAGGCAAGCGGATGGGCGAACAGGGCATGCAAGCACCGGCCCAACACGGCAGTGGCACACACGCGACCCAGTGGTCACCGTCGGTGACCACCAAGTGTGGCGGCATTGTTGAAGGTAGAGGAGGAAGAGGAGAGGAGAAGGAGGCTCACCAAGCCCACATAGCGGTTGTGGATGATGGGACGAAGGCCATCAGCTGAGGTTCGGCAGCGGTGCTTCACGGGAAGGTGGCGTGGACGACGCTCCAGCGAGCTCTGGCTCCAGGGAAGAGGCGGCCGTGGTTCCTCATGTCCTAGGGATGGGGATGGAGTGTTTGGGTTGGAGTGGTAAAGCGAGAGGCGCTGGGAAGTTGATAACAAGGGGACGACTCACTATTGACGGTCGTTACAGACAAATTTCGACCGTCAATATAACTAAAATAATGGAGAATTAGCTATGCTTGCAATGCATATTTATTTCAGAATAATATAGTTCCACTTGTACTTCGAGAATAATATGTTGCAGGAATTTATCAAATAAAATAAAGTGAAAGTGGAGAAAACCTCATTCCTAAGAAAGCAAATGGATAAGAAGGGCCCACATGTTAGGTGTAACCGTCCGGAAACTGCCTTAACTGTCAAAACCGCCATAAGGACCCACTTGTTAGTCACCTTGCCGAAGCTTGTGGCCTGCTGGGCCGGCTTAGGTTTGGCCGAACTAGGGGTTCGGTCGAACCCTGGCATCTCCCATTTCACATGGCTACAACTGTCATACCGGCCCTATAAAAGGACGAGCCCACTTCACTTCTCAACACACTCAAGCAAGCTCAAATTCCTCTTCATACTTTAGTATCAGTATTTTAGTGCTATGTGGAGTAGAATAGAATAGAATTCGGAGTCCTCGAAGTTTTCGGAAGAGTTTCGGTATGGCTTGGGAGGAGACACGGGGAGGGTTTTGTAGCCTTGGGAGGCCGGAATCGTGGTCAAGGCAATGGGAATGGTCGGCGGCAAAAGGGGCGATGACGTCGATAGTAGCGGCTCAATTCGTTGCCCGATTTTGGGGAAAAGTAGGGGGGAGAGAAAATGGAGGAGGTGGAGTGGACTGCGTCCATGAAATTTGACTGCTAGCGCGTGAGCGGGAGGGCGCCAGATTTGGCGGGGTGTGGGGGCGGCGACAGTTGCTGCCTTGGCTAGCTAGAGGTAGGGAAGACCCCGACAGGTGGCCCCACCTATCAATGGCAGTAGGGAGGAGAGGGAGGTAAAATAGACTTCGCTAGGGAGGGTGGAGGCAAGCGGGCTCACGGGCCTAGGCCGGTGATTAGAGAGGATAGGGAGGTGGCCCAAGAGGGGAGGACGGGCTGAAGCTGAGGGAAGAAGAACAAACTCGGGCCAAAAAAGGCCCAAGGAAAGAAATGGGATTTTAATTTGTTTTTTCGTTTGTTTAATTTCTGAAATGTACATTGTATTAGTAAAATTACTTCTTTAGTTCTAAAAAATCACAAAAAATTCCATGGAGTATTTTAGGGTATGGAAATTTTATTTGCCACATTACTTTCACTGCATAAATTTCTTCAGTTTTAATATAAATTTTAGAATTGATTTATTTACTAGTTTTTAATCTTGAAAGAAAATCGGGGTGTGAAAATAGATGCATAACAGAGACAAACTTTTACGTGGAAAAACCTTATGGGAAAAAATCGCAGGCGCCGTTCGACAATAATCAATATAGATGAGTTGAGTACAAAAGCAGTGGATAAATTGGGCGGACATACCCTTCCCGTGCGGCTTATGAAAGAAAAGAGAAAATATAGGGTCATAATTAAATAAGACTAGAAGCCCTACTAGAAAATTAATCTAACCAATTGGAATTTCCGAATATATTGCAAGTTAAAATTCGGATCACATATTTAATAGTGACATAGATGGCTGAGAACAGAGAATTAACATCTATTGCACCTAGTGGGACAACTTTATTATAAGTATGTATGATTCCCTGCAAAGAACTCCATTTACCGTTGTATTATAAAAATTAACTCACCGAGGATTTTTAATGGAATTACATTGTTCTCAACGGTATTTTAGCCCTTGCATAAAAGAAAAACGACAGAATGCAGATGCGCAAACTATTCTAGTTACTGTGCAATTTTACCTGCTATGTTGTGATGCAGCAACCTAAACTGTGTTTTTTTCTACAAATGTAATCCATGTCTGCTTTACAGAAATTTCGGATGATTTTTTAAGAACTCTAATAGGAAACTATTCAATTTCCGTAGGAAAGCAGAAATTTCAAAAACGGACCTTAATGAAGTTAGGTTTTTCTGAGATGGAGATTGCTACACATCACTTTGCAACAAGAATTGGCCAAGGTGGTTCTGCTACTTTTTACAAGGTTAGTCCCTATACTTCCCATTGTTTGCTCGGTTTTGGACAATTATTTACTTTTCAGATGGTAAGTTAGTCATCTCTTGTTGTTGATTTACTTATAAAAAAAATAGAAATGGTTCCGGTGAGGACCATCCCATCTCAACACAGTCAAATTGTCACGCATTAGCTTGTACAAATAATTGACCAATAATGTACCCGTGAACAAAAATAATCCAGAAAGCCACAATCATTGTCATAGCAATTGCAATTTATTTACTAGCAGTGGAGTATGTAAACGACACCACTAGTGCCCATATAATACAATCTATATGAGCTTTTACAGCATTTTATGGTGTTCTTTTCTTCAGAAGATGAAGATGAAGATGAAGATTAAGTTTTTTACGCAAAACGAGGTGATATTAACACATGATTGATTGAGTTTTAATTATTACAAACTTGAAAAATACATTAATATGATATTTTAGAGCAACTTTCATATAGAAGTCTTCGCACGAAACGTACCGTTTAGAAGTTTGAAAAGCGTGTCACGAAAATATTAATCTTCATCCAACTCTTGTTGGAGAAAAGAACGGGACCGTAGGTAAAAAGGTACCTGGAGGTGTTCATATTTACGAATGTACTGCAGGTATCTTTGAGGTACCTGTAAAATTTTGATATCTGCAAGTACGTAAAAATTTCTTCATTGAATCAACTGTCCACTGTTCCCGACCAACGCACGCCATGCGTGAACCATAATGTCAGGGGTCTGAACAGGTGGTGTACAAAAATCTATTATCCAACTATTTCAAAGGAACATCCTAAAAACTGTTTCACTAAATTAAGCAGCTAATTAACCCCATAATTTTTTGCTCACATAATTACCCTGTGATATTTATCTCTTTTTGTTCTTTATCATATACTACCTCCGTTTCAGGTAATTAGACTTTCTAGTATTACTCACATTCATATAGATGCTAATGAATCTATACACACATATATGTCCAGATTCATTGACATATATATGAATGTGGTCAATGCTAAAAAGTCTTATAATATGAAATGGAGGGATCATGTATTATTACATTGTAATTTTGAATATTTATAGATGGCACAATATATACTATGTTTTGGAAATATTTTAGGAACTTTTTTCATCACTAATTACATGCTTTTGTAATTTTACTTCGATAATGTACATCGTCATCCCACAGATAGCATTTGGTTGGGTGCACTGGATTTACTGTTAAACTCTGGCTTACGTTTTTCAGGGTGTGTTACGTGATGGGCTCGAGGTTGCCATCAGGAAACATGAAAATGCGCATCCTAATCGATATGACGACAAGCCGGAAATGCATCGTTTGATTCATCTCTGCTCAATGCTTGAACACAAAAATATAGTTAAGGTCCTGGGATATTGCGATGAAAACAGGGGAGTTGATTTGTCCAACGAAAATACGCCAAAAGAAGTCGTTGGTGCAAAAGAAGAATTTCTGTTGTTGGTCGAAGAATATATGGCCAATGGAAACTTAAGCAACTTCATCTATGGCACGTAGTTTCACTTATATATAAATGCTGATTATACGTCAATTCTAGCCAAACTCTCTTCATAACTTTCCTGTCTCTAATGGTTTGTCCTGTTCAAATTGTATCGTTTTTGCAGGGGAGCAGCTTGACTGGTCCTCCCGGTTCCAAATAATTCAAGGGATAACTCTGGGAATTATTTACCTTCACACACACTCTGGGAAACCTACTATAGTCCATCTGGACCTGAAACCAGACAACATCCTCCTGGATTCAGACATGAACCCTAAGATTGGTGATTTTGGACTAGCTAAAGTGCTAGAAGATGATGAGATTAATGCAAGCGTTCGTGGAACATTGTAAGATATCTGGCATCCTATTAATTCCATATGAAGTTATTTCCTTTCTGTTTTCTCTACTGAAATTTCTGAGTGTTTAATTTGTATTGGGTTATATTTAGGGGCTATATGCCTCCAGAATATATTGTTGAAGGTGTTATCTCGGTAAAGAATGATGTCTACGGTTTTGGCGTAACACTGCTTGAGACCATTAGCGGAATGAGCAAGTCTGGACGAGATACTCGTCATCAAGCTTCGATTGAGTGGGTAAGTAACACACATTTATTTCTAGTTGTTCTTATACTATCGTATAAATATGTGACAACATAAAGCTATAAAATCTCCGTAAAGTGATGGTAATTTTTAATATTATATGTACCACTGGTATAATTTTTAACGAAGGTACATATTGTTTGTATAAATTTGGTTATTAATAAGCCTACAACCTCCATTAATTAATTAAGATTTTTACGATAGGTTAGAAAGTGCCAAAACTTTATATAAAAAAAATCAGGTGCCTATAATAGTCCCTTTAGGGGTTAGAAAAAAGTTCAAATGCCCCTCTAAACTTTGCACGGAAGTCTACCACAAACTTTAAAACTGAATATCCAGCCCCTTGAACTTTAAAATACCGTTCATGTTATATACTAAGGTAGTTTTGGATGGTTGTTTTTGCATATTTTGAATGCTTAAATAAATAACTTTGAATTACTAATATAACATTTGCGTATCATTAGTTGTAGTTCATCATTTATATTTATACACTGATATCATACTATTATTATATTCAAACTTGTTTGCATGCAAGACATAACAAGGGGTAGAAAAAATATTTAAGTGGAGACTTAATTATATGCAAACTAAATATAAACGGTATTGTAAAGTTTAGAGGTTGAATGTTGGGTTTCAAAATTTAGGATGCTAGACGGACTTTTATCCCAAGGTTAGAGGGGTATTTGGATTTTTTTTGTTATAAGTATGAAAACCAGGTGCCGATTAATTACTGTAGCTAAACTTGTCATGTCGATATGTTTTTGTTTTCTTTTCAGGCATGGGGAAAACGGAACTCTGGAGTAATGAACAAGTTATTCGATCCCTCACTGTGTGACAACTCTCAACTGAAAGAGATAAAGAGATGCATTGAGATTGGACTGCTCTGCACCCAGAAGAAACTCACGGACCGGCCAACCATGCCAGATGTTCTTCAAATGCTACAGGGCACGAAGAAGGTTCCAACCCCCAAGCAACCAGGCTACATCAAACGAGTACGGGAAGCAGAACGTTATAAACAAGTGTAGGCAGAACGTCTGTAAGATGGCACAACAAGATTGGAAGAAATAGACCAACCAAAGAGGGGCGAATGGTTATAGTCCTCAAAAACCAAAAATTTTAGCGGAACTAAAAGTTACCCACGAAAATGATGGAGATCGGTTTGACCGGTGCGATGCTGCTGGTCCGACCGCCGATGTCATGCCTATTGGACTGCCGAACTTGAGCAAACACAGATGTAAGAGCTCTAATGTACATTGAAATTTTATTACTTCTATTTGTGGTTAAAAAATGCAACAACAACGCTCTCAAAATCGATACCATGAGGCCTTAACCCTTACACCCCTCTATTTATACCCGTGGTAGACAGCCTAAAGCCACAAACCCAATTTGTAAAAAGGTTCTAATCCCATAGTAAACCATCACGTAGAAGAAACAAATATTACAAACTCCAATCATACCAAATTTGGACACCTACCAAATTCGACTCCGTGTCCTATACTGACATAATATCTCTAGAGATACACATTGATCCATTGCCTAATCATCCCGCATGATCTCCTGATCGTCCATATGTCATCTCCTCATAAGTTGACTCTCGATCCATCACTAGCAACGCTCACTAGAGGCATCAAGACTCACCTACGCATGAATAAACAAAGAAACCATATCCAAGCACAAGTTGTCTCTAAATTGACTCGATATTAGCACACAATAGTATTACATACATATGGTATCAAAAACCACTTCGCCAAATATCTCCAACTATCAAAATCAATTATCTCACATACCAATTGTTCATCACAAAATAATAACCAAACACACTTTGATTTTACAATCTCCTTCTTGATGAACACATTGGCAACCCCATCAAAAATGATGTTTTGGTGCTTAGAACAGAAAACAAAGAAGTGCTAAAAAGCATCGGAGCACTGAAAAATTCGGAAGAAAACTCTCCCACTTTCGAAAAGAGAAATTTCTCCGGAATTGAAAACATGCACATTTGTGTATCTTCTACCCCTTTTGGCAATTATTACATCAAGCATTAGTATTATGATTTTAATATTCAAGAGCTTGGATTTATACACAGAGTAATTGAAGTCATGTGTCGCAATAAAAAGAAAATGAACTTATCAAGTATATAGCAAGCATGCACTAAAGTATAGTCATGAACTAAAAATATTACTAGTAAGATCAACAATCAAATTACTAGTAAGAGTACTTATTGCATTATTACTCTTTCTCAAATTGACTCCATCAAGAGAACTTTCAACATTTATTTGAGTTTTTTGTGTTCACTTTTACATTGATTATAACATCTCTCGATTATTCCGAGTATGTCCCTATCGTCAAGACTATTCCAGGGATTTGACACCCACTAATTTCCTCAGCACGAATATGCCCTTGTCATTTACTCGTCCATCAGATGGATGTTAAGACAACTTTCCTCAATGGAGAGTTGGAGGAGGAGATCTATATGGATCAACCAGATGGGTATGTACTAGAAGGTCAAGAGTGAATGGTGTGCAAGCTATTGAAATCCTTGTATGGTCTCAAACAAGTGCCTAAGCAATGGCATGAGAAGTTTAACAAAACACTTACATCTGTTGGCTTTATTGTGAACCAAGCTGACAAATGTGTGTACTATCGCTATGGTGGGGGAAAGAGAGTGATTTTGTGTTTATATGCCGATGACATATAGATCTTTGGGACCAGGCTCAATATGATTGAGGAAGTCAAGGACTTTCTGTCCAAAAGCTTTGAAATGAAGGATTTGGGAGTGGCAGATGTTATTCCTAACATTAAGCTACTAAGAGAAGATGAGGGTAGGATTACACTTGTGCAATCTCACTATGTGGACAAGGTCTTGAGTCACTTTGGATATAGTGACTGCAAGGCAGCTCCTACTCCTTATGATCCCAATGTACTATTAAAGAAAAACCAAAGAATAACAAGGGATCAACTGAGATACTCCTAGATCATTGGCTCATTAATGTATTTGGCTAGTGCAACGAGGCCTGACATCTCTTTTGTTGTGAGCAAGTTCAGCCGGTTTGTTTCAAATCCGGAAGATGATCATTGGCATGCTCTTGAAAGAGTAATGCGCTATCTAAAAGGGATAATGAGCTATGGAATTCACTACGCTGGGTACCCAAAAGTACTGGAGGGATATAGTGATTCAAACTGGGTATCTGATGCTGATGAAATAAAGGCCACAAGTAGGTATATGTTCACACTTGGAGGTGACGCTGTTTTCTGGAAGAATTGCAAGCAGATCATCTTAACGAGGTCAACAATGGAAGTAGAGCTCACAGCTTTAGATATTGCCATAGTTGAGGCCGAATGGCTTTGTGAGCTCCTGATGGACTTGCCGGTGGTTGAAAAACTAATACCAGCAATCCTGATGAACTGTGATAATCAAACAGTGACTATTAAAGTGAACAGTTCGAAGCACAACATGAAATCATCCAGACATGTGAAAAGAAGATTGAAGTCTGTCAGAAAGCAGAAAAACTCTAGAGTGATAGCATTGGACTATGTCCATACGGCTAAAAATCTGGCAGATCAGTTTACTAAGGGGTTAGCATGTAATGTGATAGACTGTGCATCGAGGGAGATGGGCTTGAGACCCAATTAGAGTTGCACAATAGTGGAAACCTGTCCATTGTGATCGGAGGTCCCGTAATTTGGATAGCGAAACAAACTATTGTGTAGCTGAGAGAAGAGACCCTAAAAATGGGCTTATCTTCATGATGCACTTCTCTTCTATTTTGTATGGTAGGATGGTATACACCTTAATGTGATCCGAGTGGCTTTTCATAAAGCAGAGATGTTATCCTATAGAACATCTTAGAAGGAACACACATATATGAGTCTGGCTGCTAGTCACAATCAATGAGATCTGGGTGATATCTAGATACTCATGAAAATGCTAGGAGTATGACTTATACGCTCCAAACTGAGGGGATGCAAACAACAGCCCAATACAAGTTAAGGGTTTGAGTGAAACCTGATCGCACAAGACTAACAATATAAGGCGTAGTCCATTGTTCAACTTAGCAGTCTCACCGAAGCACTGGTATAACAAAGAGGATCAGAATTGAGAGCATTTTTTGTGAGCCATAAAATTTGGTGGGGATTGTTAGATTAATGGGCTAGGCCTAGTTAAATCTTAATAAATTCCATTGGCCCACATTAAATGCTATGGGTAATAATACCACCTTAGAAATCTAAGTGAAAAAGTCTCAACTTAAATACGGAGCTAGTGAAGAGTCTCTGTTGATTGGTTGAGATGGTGGGCGGACAGCCACACATGCGCACGCGCGAGGCGAGGCAGGGAGTTGCTCTCTCTCTCTCCCTCGTTTTGTAACGGATGGTATTCAACAGTGAATTGATTTCCGTCGGTTACTGAATTAAACGCCGCGCCGTGAATTGATTCCGTCGGTTACGGAATTAAACGCCGTGAATTGATTCCATATTAACGAGCAAGTCAGTTACGGAATTAAACACCGCGGTTGATGTCGACCCTCGATTTTGGAAATCGGAAATCTTCTGTGTTTATCAGTACCAATCACTGGATCAATAGTTGGTACACACATACATAGCCGAATCACAACATATCACGAATGAATTCAGGCTAAAAGAGTTAAATGCTTACATTAGGGCCAGGTAGGCCAACAACTATCAGAGAACAACAGCGGAAGACAAAATAATACAAGGGCCCGGTTGACATGCCACAAGCAGTCGACTGGGGAACGAGACCTAGAATGGAACTGTGCTCCGATCATCTTGTTAGGTACGCAAGCGTACTAACAAGGGCTTCTCTTCAACACTTTGCTAAAAGATATATATAGAGCAACAATGAGTACAAAAGTACTCAGCAAGCCACCACACAAAATGCAGTAATGTACAGGATAATACAAGAAGTGGCTATGGTTACTTTGCGTAAAGCTGAGTTTCAAATATCATTTCACAAACCTAAGACCTAGCATAAACTGATCAAGTTTTAACTCCATTGTTTATTAAACAGCGACGGTTCTGTCCACCATCCATTGTGTTCCCAAGGATAGCTTTCCGCCACTGGCTGTCATGGTTTTCTGGGGTCTACCCCTTCTTACCTCTCGAGAAGTTGATCCACCAGTATAAAATCATCATGCATCATCCCACCCATCATTTTAAGAATTTAGAGTCTAGCCAAGTGTAATACATGTCCCGGTGCTCAATATCCGCGAGCACGGCTATTCGAATAGATTTGGTTTACGCACACTACGGTGGATGTACACTTTACCCGTACTCCGTGACTTGCCCAACACATGAGCCTACGTCCCAACGAATGAGACTTGCCACGGCAAAGCCTTTCAACAACCTCACTTTGGCAGTACCCGCTCCATGAACTTTAGTCCTCATGCACTCTAGGCGTCTAAGGTTTCTAGCAGTGAGAGGAGTCCTGGCGCTCCCGGGGAGGGAAGACTCACACATGCATTAAGTTATAGTTAAGTTTAGGTTTGCACATGGCAGTCCTACCGATGGCGACACCATTGTAGGCACCCGCCCCTCGCGGTCCTACCAATGGCTGCCCCGCACAACAAGAAAACCACTACGGCTTGGGTACCGTCTCCACTCGGCTATTTACTCCGCTAGGTCTATACCCACATGAGAAGTACGGTTGTACGGGGGGTCGTTTCATGCTTAACTTCATGGCTCGGTACTTAACTGACCAGGGACGGCACTAGCCTTTACCGGACACCACCCAAGTCCTCCAGCCGCCTCAGTCGAAAATATTTGTTTAGTTTTAATTTTCTTTCACAAATCATCTCATCAATGTCATGGCAATGTGGCACTCATGTCTCCACATGCCGTATCTCAACTACCTTCCCCAAGGTAGTTGTCCAAGCATAAAGCATTTGATAAATATGAGAATGCATAAATCTAAATTAGCATTACTAAGCATTTGTCATAAGTGACTAGGGACTCATACGTAATTATGGGTACAAAGGAATAATGAGATAAACAATAATCAAAGGCATGGCATAATAACAAGTAGGATTTCATCACTGCATGCAATTTTATTTGTAAACAAAACAATTTCACAATTGGGATCAACATGCTCAAGGGATGGGGTGATGACTTGCCTGCTCAGGATAGTTCTTATTCTTGATATAATCTTGATCAACCTTCACCTCCTGGAAGCTGCATACATTGCCTCACGACTAACCGATATACATTTTCTATAATACGCGAGAAAAACCAATATTCAAACAACAATCACATATGCACAAACAAAATATAGATGTTGGGGATATACTTAGGGCTG